CCGTACAAATTATTTACATCTAAATACATGAGATATTTTGAAGGTTCATTGGAATCATATTCAGACATATACTTGTTATTAGCTTCTGAATACCTACCACTACAAACAGAAATACCACCACGTAATGCCTTCTCGATGAACATGATTTTATCAACGTCATTCAATAATTCCAGTTTGCATTTGGTGTACTTCAACATGGCATCCCATGTATATCCAGGCATGGTATAGTACCATGCTGGATCTAACCCATAAGTTGTCCTACATTTCTGCCGGAATTTCTCGAAAACAGCGGTCAACAACATAACGTCTGTTTTTAAATATAAGTCAGAATATTCCCCTAAATTTTGAATTTTGAATGATGACCATACCTTTTGAGCATGGGCGTACTGCTCATCGCTAATGTGTTCATCATTCAATTTATTATAAAAATATTTCTTTGTAGGTAATTCAGTATCATTCAATTTTTCCAAACAACTAATGTAATCGTAGGGAAAGACACCCTTCTTGGTGAGGAGGTTGAATGTATCGTCATTCAAATGACTGAATTCTTTTTTCAATATTTCAAAATCTTTTCTATCCATGATTGAAGATAATTTATCTAAGGATGTACCCATGAAGCGAAAAGAGTCAATAAATCGGAATTTGATGTCTGTATTGTCATCATGTAAAGTGAAAGATATGTACTTTTCCATGTTTATTGGAAGTATGCTCATACGGCCCTTTTTACTCAATTGACTGATCATGAAATGTGAATCATATCCTATCAGGTTGTGAAATGCAATTGGAACAACAAAGAGTTTCTTGAAATTTATGTTACAGGGTGCTTGATGCGCCCACCCCCTGAACTCGCCTGAAAAGTGATTATGATCAGCTACGATAATGTCTTTCTCCCTGAATGGTTTCTCACAAATATGACAGATTTTTGCTTTGCATTTGTCAGGACTAACAGTCATTGGCACGATTGTTTTGATTTTAGATTGCACGATTTCAGCTATCTTCGACATTTCATTCGCAAACCAATCCATACAATCTTCACCCCTATGGCTATTGAAAAACGACAAGGAATCATCGAAATCACATTTAAAATAATAGCCTGCACTATGAGCCACATGTTTCTGATATTTGCTTGTTTTTGATGAAACCATATCATCCACATGTTCTAATTGACATTCAAAGTCTGCATAAATTATAAAGGGGGTGGTTTGTTGGTAGGTGAAATTTTTGAATTCTATGTGATCATATTTTGGAAATGAAACTTTGCATTGGTTCAATTCAGAACACAGCATTTCATGATCAATCAATTTTTGTTCACATTGAAAATAATTCATGCATCTTTCACAAATAAATTTTTAACCATTATGTTTATTCACTTGGCTTGATTTTAATCTAGACATATCTTGAATCAAACAGTAATGGTATTTGATGTCAGAATCTTCTTCATCAATCGGAGGAGCCTCATAATCATTTAATTTTGGATAATATTTGTTTTGAATTAGCAATAGATTAACGTGCCTTTCTAATTTATTTTTTGTAAGTCTGGCTGGCACCACAGTATAATATGATTTTTCCTTGACTAAATTCAACTCTAATGTGTATACATTCACGGATATGTTATTGTCTTTTTCAAATTTTGGAATTTGACGTAGAGACATGGGTGCATCTAAATCTACTGTTTTCAGAACTGTAGTGTAATATGGATATGAAGAAGTCCGTTCCCTATGTGTTTTCGCTGGGTAGAAGGCACTTATGATTGACCAATAGAAACATGCCGAGTCAGTATTTTTTATACTCAAACATGCTTGCTTTTTAGAAATTTGTTCTGGCAGTCTAATAAAGGATGAACCATTTCCCATTTCAAGTTTGTTAATATTAACTTCCATTGATATTATTTTATGCAAAGCCCACCCAGAGTCACGTTCTTGAAATTCGCTTAATTTATTCAAAATTTTGTCCTGAACATTATCATAGTACCAATGTTGTAAATCCGTTCCTACGTCCACAATGGCATTTTTAGTGTTGAAATATTTCAATTCAATAATTTCTGCATCATCTGATTTCTTTATGAATTCTCCACATAAATTAGCGTTCACTTTAATAATTGGAAATCCCTTCAATATATTTTTGATTTTATTTTTGAATAAAATGAATGCATCTATAAAAAATTGCTCCAAGTCCTTATGTGTTATATTGATGATTATTCCCGTTCTGATTCTACTTGAAAAACCTGATGCCACATCTCTCCATTGAACCCTATTTTTCAACTCAAGCCCTCTACAGTCTCGATGTCTATTTCGAATTAAATTGCGAAAATGCTTAAAATGACCAACATTCGTTTGAAACTTTCTCATCAAGCCTATGGACATCTTATTCTTATTAATTTCATTGTTACATAATCTTATGTACCTCTTTAAGCGATTTAACCAAATTTTTTCATCCCTATCAGTGAAATTATCAAACAAAATTTTCTTTAGTTTCCTAATGGCTATCACTAAGTTATCTGATTGTTTAGCGATATTCATCTTTACAAATGTATCTTGTGAAAAGTGACAAAGTAAAATGACTCACACTCTGATTCTCAATAGCTTATGATGTTGGTGATTGAGGTGCTGTTTCCACAATTTCAAACTGCTCGATGGGATGGAGTTGGCCGCAGTTTTTTCGTCCCTTGTAGATGAGGGCGTACTTGTTTTGGATAAACTGCTCCACCGCAGGTTTGATGGCTTGGGTCGCTCTGTCTGGTAGAAACACCTTACAATCGTCCAACTCAACGAGTGGTGCTTCTCCGTATTTTCCCAGTTTAATTTGCACTCCGACAATGGGGTGTGGCACATCTAGGGGCAGTTGGCTCAGTTTCCTCAACACTTTTCTGTTGCATGACAGCCCAACATTATTGATTGCATTCAGATCCATCTAAAAAGAAAAGATTGTGGAACTGGTCTTTTCATTTTAAATGGTTGAATTATGATGTGTACACGAAAAAATGAATCGATGAAAACGCGCAATGGCATTCACTTTTCAATATGAAAAAACATTGTAATGAATTATGAAATGTACACACAAAAAATGAAGATATCAAGCAATAGTATTCGCTTTTAGAAATGAAAACCAAAAAAGTGAATTACGGAAATTGCATCAAACATCAGGATCAAGCTTTAGTGAATATTAAGAAAAAAAAAACTTACTTTCTTAGATATCGGCAGTTTTGGCACTACACAAGATTGCTATCAGATGTGACTAGGTGTTGATTTTATGTGGCTGTCTAACTGTAATGTGATACCTAAAAATCAGAAATCAAACAACATCAGTGAAAATATCTTCATTTCAAATGTTTGAAATAGAATGAGTGAATTATGATGTGTACACGAAGAAATGAATCGATGAAAACACACAATGACATTCACTTTTCAATATGGAAAACATCGAAATGAATTATGATATGAAAACATATCATGCAATATTATTCGCTCTTAGAAATAAAAACAAAAAAATTACTTAAAGAAATTGCATTACCAGGTGAATATAAAGAAAAAAAAACTTACTTTTATTAGGTATCAGCAGTTGGCACTACACAAGATTGCTATTAGATGTGGCTAGGTGTTGATTTATGTGGATGTCGAACGTTGACTGAATTTTGTCAGAGCGCTCCGCTGTTATATATCAAGGTGGTAGAATGAAAACATAATGTTTCTCACATAATATGTTGTCTTCTGATAAGAGATTGTTTTTTTCCCATTTCTTGTAAAATTTGTTTTTTCTTTCAAATGATAAACTTGTTTTTCTATTATAATATCTTCTTATCAGTAATTTCCTGTTATTTGTTTCAATTCAACTTCAATACTCATTCATATTCCAGTTCATCGAAACTAGCTCTTGCCTTGTTTTTTCCATTTCTTGTAAAATTTGTTTTTTCTTCCAAATGATAAACTTGTTATTCTATTGTAATATCTTCTTATCACTAATTTCCTGTTATTTGGTCATATTCAACTTCAATACTTATTCATATTTTCTTTTGACGCTGGGAAAAAAATCGAAACTAGCTCTACTATGTCATATCCGAAGAGACTATTTCATATGATATTTCCAACGCATTTAGAGCGATATCTTGTAAACCTTGAGACTTTGCATATAGGTATATTGGCATTTCCGAATTGTCCATAAAAAATCATTCTCTCAGAGTACCCACACTCCCCAATCCTTCAATATTTACCCCTAAAGTGGGGTGGTCTAACCGTGGGACACCCTGTATATATAATTTTCAATTTTTATTCAACTCAAACACCCTGTCACTGATGATGTCACGCCATCGCGCTCCCGCTACCCCGCTTCCCCGCTAGAACACAGGCCGCGTTCCAGTTAAGATTAAAGCATGTATTTCCCTATGCTGGTAGTCGTGCTCTCTTAGTTTTAACTACTGACGTCAAAACCCTAATACTGAAACAAGACGATTCCAGACAGAGATGAATGATACATGATTTCTGACAGAGTGAATTAGCACGGGATCACAGTCGAAAGAATTGATATATCAGTTGCCTCAGTCTCCGTCGGGAGTTTGGTATTTTTTTTTTAAACTAAGGGGGGATGATGTTTCTACGTCATAAGAAGGTACGTTTTCAGAAGGTACTATTATTTTTGTCCAAAAATAAAACATTCCAGTTAATTTTTCGACCGAATTATGTCGTCAATCATTATTTATGTATAAAAGGATCATTATAAACATGGTTTGAGTTGAAAGTTCTACTTAGGTGTACACGCCCATTGTTCGCCTCTTTTGAAGATGAAAACCACCCTCACCTTCTTCCCCTTCTTAAGTACATAAGTTAGGCTTAGACAGGCCTTGTACATGACCTCTTACCATGGAATCGCCAGGTTGGAGATCACCTGCATTTCCGCTGGTATAATATCATCCTTACCATGTGATTTGTGGGATTGAAACTGTGTGATAGCCTATTCACTCCTCCTCGAGGTGACGATTGATGAGTTAATGATTCGTTTGACGCTAGGAGCTGCTGGTTCGCATTGCCTGTCCAGCTGTTGGCCAGAAAAGTGTGTGTCTACCAGTAGCTCGACGGTCTCTACGTCCATGATCGTCCATGTGCCATCAGGTTTGCTGAGATAGCTTGGCGTCACTGGGTTGGACAAGATGATTTTTCGTAGCCTGTTGCCTTCTGTAGCGCTGTTGATACTAGAACAGAATTCAAACCATGATTCAAATTTTGCGAGCCGTACACTCTTTCTGAAGCTGTTCAGACTGACTTTATGAACACTTCATTCATTGCTTCTCTTAGCTTGGTTGAACATATTTCTACTTTGTTTCCTGAGGTCACTGATCTCAGAAGACCACCAAGCTGGTTCGAGTTTTCTCCTGACCGTTTTCATCGGACATGCCACATTCATTGCCTCGTTGGGAATTTCTGTGAGGGTGTCTACCAGCAGATTCAGATCGGCCCTAGAAGTGGAAATGTCTGGTATCTCTGCCGGTAGGGCCTGAGAGAAGCGTTCTTTGTACACACCCCAGTCCGTATGACGAAACTGTTTGGCTGTTAGCCCGTGTACGTCTATGTCAAATACCAAGTATCGGTGGTCTGACATGGAGTGATCTCGGGATACTCTCCAGGACCGTTCGGATCAGGTTAGCAGCGTGTTCGTTGGTCAATGTTATGTCCAGATAACTCTGCCTTACGGCTGTAATGGAGGTGGGCTCACTGCCTCTGTTACATATCTGGAGGTTATTACCTAGAATGTATTCTAAAAGCGATTCACCTCTTTCATTTGTGTCGGTGCTGTCCCATATGGTGTGGTGTGCATTCGCATCAGCGCCGATGACGACCGGTGATCTTCATGCTCATTCAAAATTTCCCTATCAGCTTTCGTAGAATTTTTATTATTTTTTAGAACTATTGATGGCTAATCAAGATGTTTCACATTAACTTGTTTTGTCTACAAAATCACGAATGGATGAGATAAGTGAATACCTACATTGATTCCTTATACTGTTCAACAATCATTTCGTATTGAATTGATTTTTTGAAATGGGTAATGAATCAGGCAAAGAACACCCGCCTGACATAAATAATTCAACAATGATTGATAAATTGGCTGATGATGATGCGAATAAGCAACCAAAAGTTATCAAAGCCAAATACGATTTCAGTAATGAATATCAACACACAGATAGTAGACCTTTTTTGTGGCGATAGAACATAAAGAAGAACATGTTGGTGAATCATTTCCGATAAGAATAAGACACTATTCACTTGATGATCCATTGTTTCGAAATAGTCAGTTTCGTATCGAAATACTACACGCATAAAAAAGGTATCATAAAAATGGTGGACACTATTTTCTCAGAAGACTACATATTGAGAGGAATAGATTCAGATATTCAAAAAACGGAGGTGAAACGTATGGAACGTAAAATCGTAGATATTTCTACCGACACAACCGAATATGTTGATAGACAAATGGGGGTGCTGACTTTTTTGGGAAATGCCATACCCGTAAATGTCAGAATCCACATGGTTAGTTTTTTCGTTGAGCCATATTATTATCCCGTTATTCAATGCTTCAAATGTCTAAGGTATGGACATACAAGTGCACAATGTAAGGGCAAAGCTAGATGTGAAAAATGCGCAACAGAAATCTGTAATGATGACAAGAAATGGTAAATTATGTGTACATTGCAACAGCAATGAGCATAGCCCAGTATCTCGCATCTGTCCTGTTTTCAAAAAACAAGCGAATATAAAAAAATGGCAACTGAAAATACTACTTCCAAGAAGGCCGAGTTCATTGTCGATAATCCTTCATATGCCAAAGTAACAACTCACAATAGGTTCGATTTGCTCAACAACTTGGCAAATTTTCCTCAATTACCAGAACCAAAACTAAGTCTTAACCTGCGAAAACCGCCTACTACAGATCCATTTGCCCAAACAAAAAATTTACCGAAACCAAATCAACCTGAAAAAAAGGAAACTCAATTGAAAAAACGTAAAACAATGTCACCTATTCAATCACCCACACACACTGCATCAATGACAACAAAATCTTCCTCTATCCTCCCTAATCCTTATCGGGAGGAACTGATATTACACAAAGAAAAAATACTGATTGATGGTCATATTCATACAAAATATAATACATGATAATAAAAAATTGAATGGAATCAGTATCAAACAATCGGTTTCACAAATTTTAAATATTCAGAATGAAAAGGATGAGAATATGGACTTTATCAACTCAGATGATGATGATGACGCATCCGAATTATAAATGCCTACTAACGATACCGCGGCTTGCTGGTTTTTATCAGTGTATCAGAACCTGTGCTACAACCCAACAACGTTTGACACTTTCGAAGTACAAGCGAATCAAACAAAATCAATATTCTACAATGGAATGTTAAATCACTGAAAGTGAGAGAATCAAAGTTACAGGGTTCAATTAAAATTGATTACTTCAAAACGAAAGGATTCAGAATTGTTAGGAAATGTCCAATACATGGATATGGAGGTGTAGCGATACTCATTGAGAATGACATCAAATATAAAGAGAAGAAAATCACACAAAATCTAGATAACGAAAATGCAGATCTAAATCATATAATTTTCAGCTGCAGCAAATTTCCTAGCAATGATATCTTTGAAGGTCGGGGCTCAGCTACGTATTGCTTACTACAGGGGATGGAGACATTTTCAACCTATTGGTTATATCAATAACAAAAATTGAATTGAGTGTGACCGAGGGACTAATATCCATGGCCATTTATGTAGGAAAAAAAATTATCAAATCAATAATGAGACACAAGGGTGTTGCTACTTGCTGACATATTTCTTCAAGTGTTTCAAGTTATTATTCTTTTATTATTATTATTATTCTAAGATAGAATTGTTCAAATTCCTTCTTTTCGTAGATTCAAGGAAGATGAAGAAATGGTTCAACACTCTGGGTGAAGGTGAAGTTCGTAGTTTAACTATGCTTTGTGTTAGTTCTGGCCCCCTCTTTGCATCAAATCCTTGTCAAAATCATTACTAGTTTCTGTTAGAATCAGGTAATCATAAAACCGATCAAACCGACTCGAAGTGACTCCATAGTTTTTTGATGAATCAATTTGAACTCATCATCAACTTTTTGAATCAATTGGTTTTATTCAGAGACATCCCTAAGCAATTCTGAATTTGAATTGTTTTTTATGTAGCAATTATTTGCGTTGTTTTGACCAGCAAGGAACATATTATGTAATTACAGGATTTTTTCTCCACTCTTTGTTCAATTGTCAAGTCGTTTACGATCTGAATTCGCGTTTCTATCAATTTACTCGTATTTTTCAAAACCATTAGCTCCTTGAAGAAGGACGTCAATTCCATTCTCAGTGGGCTTTTGTCAGTCGTTCTTGAGGAATACAGGTTATCGAGATCCGATTCCACTGGATTCATAACCAGAAGAGTTTTATGGTATGTATGGTTTCATTCTAAAAATTGTTCTAAAATTGTTCTAAATTGTTCTAAAATTGTTCTTATCCGTCATTCGGTTGCCCCCTTACGAGCAACCCTCAGAAGTCTTCGAAAGACTTGTGCGAGCAAGGAATGACGGGGGCCTTACCTTTTAACGTGTGCTCCCATTGTTCGTTTCTCTTCCCTTTCTAGCCCAAAACTAACAATGCTTTTTTTCTTTTCTTCCCATTCGAGGGATTTGATTCTGTTTTTTAGCTCTTGTTGTTCTTCATCAACCTTGTCGACTTTATGTTTGATTTCCTTCACTTATAGAGAAATCATAGAGATCCTTTATTGTAGCTTTCAGATCTTAATTGCATCTGATAATATCTTCCAAGATCAATGCATTGTTAATTTTTGTTTCAGTCATATTCTACGAATACGGTCTGCTTTTTATGTGATGAGATTGGTGTGCTGATAAGATGACTATATCGTTATTCTGGCTCTTATATTCATCTAATCGAATGCGGACCTATGAAACTATAATCCCCTCGGAGCTCATGCTTGAACTTCTTCGATGAATATATGATGTACCTACATCAAAATATTTCATTCTCAAGTGACTTTCACATCTGATTTTCATGATATTCAGTTCAATATTGAGAGCGATCGATGATAACGATATATCAGTATAGCTGACCACACACATTGGGACCATAGTCACTATTACTGATGTTGTGAATAGGCATTCTAGACAAATTCATCTCGTGGTGTACTGAATTGTTTCGAGGTAAGTATAGTGATCAATAATTGCTTCGAACAATAATTACTTTCATGAAACGTCTACGAAGAATATTCGAGAGTGCAGCATTAATAACGGTTGGAATAAATAAATATAATTTACATTTTACTCGATTTTTAGGAATTTTCTCTCCTCGTTCCTATGAGATGAAAATATGAGTATTATTTCAATATATGTGTAGTAGGACAAATACGATGATTCGCCTCAGAATTTCACTGCGTTCAAAAGACTTTCAGGGAGCTGGAAAGAGAAACTCAATAGCTTGTTAGTGACACTTTTTGAAACATTATGTTTGGAGAAAAGAAATATAGATATATTGAAAAAATGTCCCATTTTCACTTATCTTTGATCGTTTCTGGAACGATATGAAATTGCAAAAATATTTTTCCTAGAGTCCTCTAGAATGCAGTCCTCTGGACAATCTTGATCAGAGTCAGAATCATAAGAGTATTTCAGTTCTTCCTGGATAGTTTTTATTTGGCTTCCTGATATTGAAGTATCCCCACTAATGATGATATTGGGAAATGGAGTAAGTACGATGAAAAAATGAATATCGATCAAGAAAACTTGATTCTCGACTTGATCATTCGATTCCGATTCTGAAATAAACAATTCAATATTCAATGGACTAGGTGTTTGCAGACGGAAAGTTAGTGTCTATGGACGAAAAATACTTGCCCTAGAAATTACTTGCTTTTTCGTTTGGGAATTCTGAACGTGAAATTTGATTTTTTGTTAGGGTCGACAAAAACACGTATTTGTGACGTATGTTTTTCTTTCAGCTGTTTAATGATATATGAAGCGTGCCCTCACTCTCGGATGAAAAT